TGTGTCTCATGCTTAGAGGGTATGTGTGCCTGTGTGTTTGTGTAGAGCAGGGCTTCTCGACTTTCCTAATGCTGCGACCCCTTAATCCAGTTCCTCATGTTGTGGTCATCCCAACCATGTTTTTTTTTTTTTTTTTTTTTCAAGACAGGGTGTCTCTGTAGCACTGGCTGTCTAGAACTCACTTTGCAGATCAGGCTAGCCTCAAACTTAGAGACAGCCGCCCGCCTCTGCCTCCTGAGTGCTGGGATTACAGGCGTGAGCCACTGCACCACTGTGCCCGGCTCATAAAACTCTTTTTGTTGCTACTTTGTACCTGTTGTTAGGAATCTCAGTGTAAATATCTGATATGTGACCCCTGTGAAAGGGCCCTTCGCCCCCCCCAGGGGGTCATGACCCACAGGTTGAGAACTGATCTAGAGCCTCCTGAGTGAACATGCATTTGAAGTCAAGCAGTGATAGCGGCTCAGCCTCTTCCGGCCGGGCTGTGCTTACACCTCAGTATTGGAGCCTCGAATGTGTGAGGACCTGGATTTGGTCACTGGGCCTGAAGGAAAAAAGCAAGCTTCATGACACAGGCCTTTAGAAGCCCCACGGTAGAATTCACAGTCAGGAAGGTGTATTGAGACGCTGTCTCCGCCCAGTTTACACAGTAACACAACTTCTCTTCTCTCTAGAGACGGTAACTACTTGTTTAGTGTGAACAAGCCTGCCACAAGCAAATTTGAAGAAATGCTAGGTAAGTATGCTTGACTAGGCTCACACCCATTCTCCCTGGTGTGTAAGTATCAATGTATTATTAATCAGAAGGAACAGCTACAGTGCTGATATAAACAAGCCAAGCACAGGCCAGTCACAACAATGGGGGATGAGGCAGGAGGACTGCCGTGAGGTCAAGGCCAGCTTTGGGTTACATAGTGGGTACCAGGGCAAGACCCTGTCATAAAAAGCAAACCAAACAGGGCAGAGTAGGGGGAAGAAAGGAGAAAACGGGGAGGGGGAGAGGCAAAGAAATGGTAGCAGAGAGATTTAAAAGGGTGCGCCCGGTCACAGGCCACAGCTGCTCAGTCTGTAGGGAGGCCCAGGGGGAGGATGGGAAAGCACACAGAAGCAGGCAGCAGGCACAGTGTGGCACCCTGTCTGGGGCACAGGCCTCCTGGAACCAGCATGCAGGCCTCTGTGCTGAGCTGCGGTGAGGATGATTCTGCCCTGGCTCCGAATTGCTTTTGTTTTTCCTTTTTTTTGGCCAAATTTTCTCTTTACGGTCTTTTGCCTGCATGTATGTATATGTACTACGTGTACCCATTGTCCACAAAAGCCAGAAGAGAGCATTGGCCCCCTAGAATTGGAGAGCTGTCACGTGGGCGGTAGGACCCGAGCCCCGGTCCTCTGCAAGTGCAGCCAGCATCCCTGAGCCACCTCTCTGGCTCCTCCCTCCTCCTTTTTTTTTTTTTTTTTTTTTTTTTGAGACAGGGTCTCAAAAAAGTTTGAGGCCTAGCTGGCCTCAAACTTAGAAGGGCACCTGCCTCTGCTCTGCCTTTCCTCCTAGTGCTGGGACTATATGCCTGTGCTGTCACACTTGGCCTTGCTTTCGTGTTCTGAGACAAGGTCTGTTTCTGTATCCCAGTTCACCCAGCTTGGCCCTGTACTCACTCTGTAGTCTGGGTGGCTTCAGACTCAGCATCTTCTGTGTTAGTTACACTCAGTTGTGGTGAGGTTTACTTTTCCTCTGAGGTCGTGGATACTCTGAGGACTTGTGCTCGCTTCCTTAACCACACTTTCCAGTATAGGGTGGAGCTATAGGCTGAGAAAGGGGAATATCTGGGAAAGGCAGCCACTGGCTTTGTCAGGGCCAGCGGAGTACGCTGGAGACAGTTAAGATCAGCAGAGATCTCAGCGTTGGCAGCTTGCCTTGTGGTGTGCGCCCCAGCCTCACCTCAGAGCTGTGGCAACAGGCAAGACCACTGTTAGCTCATGGGCTGTCTCTTTGTCTTAGGATGTAAGAAGGCGATAGGAAAACCAGCCACTGCAAAACTGTAGGAAGCATGAAGCAGCTGTAGAAAACACAGTTCCTCAGCAACAGTCACAAAGGACTTACTCTGCCACAAATGGGCATTGAGAGGAAGACTTGTCCTGTCTCCTGGAGACCTTGTGAGCGGGGTTCTGCCAAGAGGAGGGGATGACCAGGAGCATCAGTCTGATCTTCCTGACAAGGGCTGCGGCATTCATGTCAACCTGTGTGTTCTAAATAAAACAGTCTTTTGAACAGTCTCGGAGGCCGAGCTCAGGCCCCAGTTACTGCCACACAGTTTGCCACACCCGCTCCTCCAGGCCGACTGAGTTAGAGTCCAGCAGCAGCACTGAGCTTCCCTGCTGTGCAGGAAGACACTGAAGAAGGCACATGGGTGAGCGTTCCTAACCCGCAGCCTGAAGCTGGGAGCGTGAGCTCCACCCACTCAAAACACAGGTGTGTTGGGTGTACATAGAACAAAGGGACTGCACGTCTAGGGACTCCAGGTCAGATCTCTAGGACATTTTGTTTTGGATGAGCAGACCTTCCAAACTCTAAAAAGCAGCCCAGCTCACTGCTGTTTGTCAGCGTATTCAATAAACTGTTCCTACTAAACAAACACAAACTTTAAATCTGACACACTTCCACCATAAGCATTTTGGATAAGGGACTCAACCAATAGCTTACATTTTCACTTTACTCATGTTGCCTCAGACAAGTACTAATTTGACAGAAGTGTGTAATAAATTACACACTTTTTTTAGTTTAAATTTTACACCCAATGGTCTTATTAACCAATGGAAGTAAACAGAGTGTGTGCAACGAAGAGATGCCTGTGCAATGTGCCATGTGTGTTCATGGACAAAGTTAGGCAGAGCCCTGCAGCCTTGCCAGTTGGTGGCTCTGGAAGTGACCTGTGACGCCAGCATCCATGAACCTGGATCACAGGGCGGGGCTGGTGACAGGAAAGGACTGTGGTGCGTGTGCGGAGGGTTGGTCTCAGGTCCTTGGGCACGCCCTGCTGCTGAGCTGTTCACCTGTCAGCTGCTCACCTCGCACTCACCAGGTGGCTGAGAACGAGCGAGCCTCAGCTCCTCCTGCCTCTGCCCGGGTGCTGCGATCACAGGTGTGCACCGCCATGCTGCTGTTTATACCGTGTTTATACCTCGATGAGGATTGAACTTAGCCTCATCACAGCTCAGAAGAGGATTACTGAAAAATGTGTGACTCTGGAGCTGGACAGGCGGCTCAGAGGTAAGAGCACTTCCAGTGGGCCCGAGTTGAGATCCTGCCACCAACGTCGGGTGGCCGTGACACCTGCAACCAATAAGCCTGGCGTCAAGACACTCTCTACCCACACTCTTAAGGTAGACCAGCCTGATGCACAGAATTCCAGGCAAGTTTAGGGCTACACAAGCTCTAGCTCAAAAACAACAAAAGTTTGTTAAGTCTTACTACACATGAGGCTACTTTTATCAGAAATGAATAATTATGAGGATTAATGGAAGTAGAAAATTTCCAGTATTCTTGGGGAGACTGCACAACTTCCCTGATGGTCAAATTTGGAAGTTTTATCTAAATTAGGAAAGAACTGGGTTGGAGAGATGGCTCAGTGGTTAAGAGCACTGCTTTTCCAAAGGTCTTGAGTTCCCATCAACCACATGGCGGCTCACAACCATCTATAGTGAGATCTATAGTGAGTCCTCTTCTGACGTGCAGCTGTACCTGCAGACAACACTACATAATAAATCTGGGATTAGGCCTACCTCACAGCAAATGCACCAAGAAGGCATCGTGGGTAAATACAGGACCCACTCTGGTCCCTTCCAAAAAATAGCAGAGAAAACTGAAATCGGCCTAGCACACCAGCTTACTTGCTCCTTCTGTGGCAACACTGAGCAGAAGAGACTGATGGTGGGCATCTGACATCGTGGTTCATGCGCAGGGACTTGGACCTACGATGCCATTTCTTCTGCCTCAGCCAAGTCCTCCACTAGAGGGCTGAAGGGGGAACTGAAAGGCCAGTGGAAGCGCTCTCATTGGAGAACCTCTCCACTCACAGTAAATGGGTTAATGTATCTAACAATAAAGAGGGTACGCTTTGGCACAGCGACAGAAATGGATTATGTACAAGTATTCCCACAAATAAGGAAAGGTAGATACATATATATGTATATATACACATTCATATGTATTGCTTTTCCAGAAAGCTTTAAAAAAAAGATTTTCATGCACACGTATGTGCATTACCCAAGGTGGCCAGAAGAGGGTGTCATTCTCTGAAGCTAGAATAATGATTTTGGGTACTGGGACCTGAACCCCTGTCCTCAAGAGCACAGGTGCTCTTAATCACGATGCTACTTTTACTATCCTGTGTGTGTGTGTGTGGCAGCCTCTACATAGTCCTAGCTGTCCTGGGATTGGTTATGTAGACCAGGCTGGCCTCAAACTCAGATCTGCCCACCTCTGCCTCTCAGGTGCTGGGATTAAAGGTACGTGCCACCATTCCCAGCTCCTTTTCTGGCTAGCTGGCTCTATTAGACAGAGATTCCCTTGCTTCTGTCTCCTGAGTGCTGGAACTAAAATGTGACCCAGGCTGGAAGATTTTTTTAAGTCACCAAACCCTGAAGCTAACAAGGTTGCCAGAAAACAAAACAACAACAACAACAACAACAAAAACCCATGATTTAACAAGATGACTACTCCAGCCCAGGAAAACCTCGAGTACAGCTACTGGGAAACGATGCTCTGAAGTACCTGGGAGAGGAAAGGAACAGCATGATTCCTGGGCAGGGCACCTGCAGAGGCTGCTCCTTCCATACACCTTGCCCGAGCTCGAATCCCTGCAAGCAGGTCTCCTCCAGTCTTCTCACACCTGCCCACAGCACAACATCCCTTTCTTCACATCCAGATCTACCACATGTTCCACAAGAAGCTGCCTTGTTTGAAGGTGCAGATGGTAGGTATTCTGTTGTACACAGGTGCTTTGTTAACTTTATCCTGTTATAAACATTGGAGGGCAGACAGGGTAAAGCACAGCGTTTGATCCTTTTAACTGCATAGTGGCTTCTGTATCTTCTACCCACTGGTGTGATATTTGCCTCAGTGATCTGCAGGTGGCATGAATTTGGCTTTTAGACTTATTTCCTTGAGGTGGGCATGGTGGCACAGGCCTTTAATCCCAGCACTTGGGGAGGCAGACACAGGCAGATCTCTGAGTTCAAGGCCAGTGTTCAAGGCAGAACAGCCAAGAGTACAAAAGGAAACGCTGTCTGGAAAAACAAAGCAAAGAAGGATTCTTACCTTGCACATCTGTCATTTCCCAGTGAAGGATTTTCTTAAAAACAAAACAGACCACTGTGCTTCCAGGGCCTGGGTTGCTGCTTCGTGTCCTTACCTCGCGTAAGCAAGGCCTAGGTTTGGTCCCCGCGCCCTCAGGACTTCAGGAAACTTTGCTCATTCACAATTCTGACAGCAAACACTTAAAATCTTCTAATAGCTGTCCTCCCCACATAAATAAAAGAACATAAAAATGGTGAGGAAAGATAAATGAGATGCCAGCAGTGGTGGTTTATAGCTCAGCACTCAGAAGGCAAAGGCAGGGGAATCTCTCTGAGTTTGAGATTAGTCTGGTCTACAGAGTAAGTTCCAGGACAGCCAAGGCTACACAGAGAAACCCTGTCTCAAAGAAAAAGAGCTGAGTATAAGCCCTTTACTCAGAGGCAAATGTTCTGAGTTCAATGGGGGACTGGTGTCCACAGAGTTCTAAGGCAGCCTAGGCTACAGAGACCCTGTCTCAAATGAGAAAATAAACAATAAACAGACAAAATGTTATAAGCAATGAGTTCTATCCAGTTGAGAACACTATAAAGCTTTATTTTCTCAGGCAGTTTAAAGGACTTATCTATCAAAGTATACAGCGATGCTTTCATCTACAGCAATGCTTTCATCTACAGCAAGCCCAGCTCCCAATCTTGGCTAAGACACTAAGGTGCAAGATCAAACTGCCGGTAATCTATTGACAGGTAGCAGCCTGAACAAAAATGACTTTGAGCACTTAGTGACAGGAGGCTCTCCGAGATCAAGTTTCCAAGCGTCATCAGTCCAGTCCACGATAGCTGGTCTGTGTAGCTAGTTTTGACGCAAACAAGAAAAGATGATTAATGTTGACTTAGGATGCTGCTATGCATGGAACTACCACTGCGCTGGACAGTGCTGCAAGCTTCAGAACTTGCTTGGAGTCTGATGAAGCATGGGAGTCGGCCCTGACCCCATCTGAAGGGGACAGTCAACTACAGCAGGTGTCTGGCACTTGAGGGGGATCCAGTCAGCTTGTACACATCCCCCAGACTATTCCCTCAGCTACCTTAGCCCATTCTTAGCAGAATAAAGTTCTCTACTTCCATTTCCGTAAGATTATAACATGGAAGATTATTATTGTAAGTTCCATTTATTCTAATATGGGGACACACTGGCATTCTTATAAAATGGCACCAAATAATCACAACCACACAGTTCTATGAAATTCAAGTTTCCAGTGATCTTAAGACAAATTAGTATCTGTGTTTGGCTGGAACATCCAGTTAAGGTCACATAGAAAATCCTAACACAGCCAGGAATAGTGGTGCAAGCCTATAATCCCAGCCCTTGAGAGGCAGAGGTGAGAGGATGAGACCAGTGTCTACATAAAGAGACCTGCCACAAAAAAGAGAAAAAAAAAGAAAAGAAAAATCCTAACTTAGAAAAAAATCAGTAGAAACCTGCAATGGTGATTTCAGTGATTTCCTCCTTAAGTGTGTAGAGCTAAAAAAAACAAAAGACAGGAAAAAAAAATGATGCCCGAATTGAGTCAACTAAGCCAAGGAGTTTTACAGCCTTGCATTCACGGCAGAAACCATTTAGGACTTTACATAATTTTATGCTTTAATACTACCTGTTTTATTCAGACAAAAATAATCTTTAGAACCAATGGGTATAAAAACATGGCATAGAAACTGGGTGTGGTGGCACACACTTTTAATCCTAGGACTTGGGAGGCAGAGGTAGGTGGATCGATGTGAGTTCAAGGCCGGCCTGGTCTACAGATAGAGTCCAGGATAGCCAATACTACATAGGGAAATCCTGTCTCAGAAAACCAAAAAAGAAAAAAAAAAAAAAAATGGCATCCTGGACAAAAAGCACAGCTGGAAGCTAGTGGGAAATGGATCTGAGCAAACGCTTGCCAAGAGTGGAACTTTAGATCATCAGAAGAGAGCAGAATAGTTTGGAAACCTTAGGACCTCCCACCTGCCCACCTTCCCTTTACCAAACAAGCTGAAATACATATTACAGTCAGGAATCTTTGAAGAGTTGTTTTTTTGCCCAGGCGTGGTGGAGTGCTCCCAATCCCAGCACTAGGGGAGCAGAGGCAGGTGGATCTGTGAATTCAAGGCCAGTCTAGTCTACAAAGCAGATTTAGGATTGCCAGGACTACACAGAGAAACCCTGTCTCAAAAAACAAAAAAGTTGTTTTTGGGGCAGGGTTTCTCTACAGAGCTCTGGCTGTTCTGCAATTCACCTTTTGACCAGGCTGGCCTTGAACTCAGAGATCTACCTGCTGCTTCTCCCAAATGCTGTGATTAAAAGTGTGCACCAGCATGCCTGACTCGTTTTTTTTAATAGAACACGGTTCTTTCCCTGCACTTAAGGTATCTTCCATCTCCCTTCAAGTCTCCACTAAGTTACAAAAAAGTTGCAAAACAGACATCATCAGGGCAGCGGGTGTGCATCAGCGGAAAGGGTTTGCCTAATATGCACAAAGTCCTGGGTTATTCCCCAACACAGCAGAAATGAGCACAGTGGCCATCTGTAATCCCTGCCCTTGAGAAGTGCAGTCAGGATTAGAAATTCAAGGTCACCCTTGGACAAGACCAGCCTGGGCTGAAACTAGCTCAAGAAAACAAAAATAACCAGGAACAAATCTCCAGAGACCCTGAACTCCCAGAAATTATTCAAATATAGAGTTCTGCATTTGAAGTCTCATCGGCTCCTAACCCAGGCTGGTGCTGAGGGGCCTGGAGTTACTGCCTACTGCTAAGTGATTCCCACTTCCTGACAATGGCAAGAAGTGTTGCAGCAGTAAACCCACTCATTGTAGTCCTCGTGATTCCCAAAAAAGACCCATCCAAGCTAAACACTGCAGCGCTGAGCAGCGTGGACTATGCTGCCTTCCAGTGACCTTTGGATGCCTGCAATTGTTTTAGGAAGGCTTCCGTCCACAGAATACACTGAGGCATCTGGCACCCACTTATTCAAATTCATCCCAAACCAATGTTCCCAACTCATTTCTTTCCAAATCGGTTGGTTTAAGGAGACCATGAAGCAGGCGTATTGCACAGTGCTGACTATTTTGCTGAGCCGGGATGCTTCACATGATTTCTCTAGGCAGCACACAAGGGCATTCCCATGGTGAGCAGTGTATTTCAAGTGAGAGGGTAATCTGAAATGCCATGGTGTGACCCAGCAGTCCTTAAAGAGTTAACATAGAAGCACGGTGTACGCTCTGGTAGTTCCAGTGTTTGTGGGGGATGACACATACTTATACTTCTCCTTCTGACTGTATTTTTAAGAGGGGACATTTACATGCTGTTTGTGTCTCTGGAGAATGTGCTGATGAGTGTAACGTAAGTACAAATAATGCATCTGCAGAGCACACACACATACACAGATGCACGCACGCATCGCCCCAACCTTAGACCACAGAAGTGGTGCTCTCAGGGTTCACTCGCAGGAGTCTGGACGCATTCCGGAGGTCCTGCAGCTGCTTGGCGGGCTTCCCCACACCGTCCTCGAACCTCCTCTCCACCACCGGGAGGACAGTTTCGTAAAGAAAGGATGCGTTCTGCCGGATGAAGGCCTTCTTCTCGGGGTCCTGCTCGCACCGCAGGCTGTAGTCCACGTGCTGCACAGCCACCAGGATGACTTCCACCAGGCTCTCCAGGAGCACCATGTGGAGCTCGGGGAAGTACAGCTTCAGCGCCTCCTCCAGGAAGCCCATGGTCTGCTTGGTGAAGGCCACCACCGTGTAGCTCAGGTTCACCCAGCAGTCGTCCCCAGTGTACTGCTCAAAGTTCCCCACCCCGCACCCTCTCATCTCCTCCCGGAGCTTGCCCAGGGCTTCCGGGGTCATCAGGTTCATCCGGCGCCACATCTCTTCTGAGTTCCGGTGCTTGGTGGCTTCAATGATAATCTCCTTGTAACTGTGCAAGGCGCCCTGGATGTCCTTGACCAGCAGGGCATGGATGATGAAGGTGAGGTCCAGCCCGATCTCGCCCAGCTGCTGGCAGTGCTCCTTGGCCACCTTCACACACTCAGCTGCGGTGGACAGGCTCTCCTTGCTGTCAAAAACCTGCTTGCTGAAAGCATCCACGAACATGCCCATCGCAGACCTTGCCCAGACCACAAAGGCAGAGTAGCAGCCACTGTCCGTGCCCGCAAAGTCTGTCTCAAACTCCCTTGCGGTCTCCAGGAGGCTGGTAAAGAAGACGTGGCACAGCTTGTGAATGTAGAGCAGAGTGGCGCCCTCTATCCGAAGCTGGCGGATGGCTGTGTGCACAGCTGCTGCCCTGTTCCTCAGAAACAGCTCGCAAGCCTTGGTACACTGGCCCAGCCGGATGAGCTGCGACACTGCCCTCCGAGTAGCCTTGGGGCCGCCTCTCAACGACCTGTCCGGGGAGAGCTCAAATACAAGCACCTCGGTGAGCTGTCGCACGCGCTCATCCACTTTGGCCCTCAGCTCTTTCACAGGAGGAGGGCTGGGTTTATCTTCCAGGTAGTGATTTAATTTGTCCAGCAAGTCCACGGCTCCCTCAAAGTCCCTCTGAGCGATGCAGACATCCAGGTCCTCGGGCAACTCCTGGATCCACTCCATGGAGAGCTCCACCTTTTCCTCCTCCGCCTCAGGGGTGGCCAGTTCTTCCTCGTCCTCATCCTCAAACGGGTTGCCGCCCTTGGACGCGACCGTCGGGGGCGCTCGAGGGGCCGCCGCCTCCTCCTGCTCCCGCCTCCTCTTGTCGCTGAGTGCCCTCTTGGTTTCCTCCAGCACTTCCAGCCACTCTCGTTTAATCTTGGCATTTTCCGCCTGGAAGATGCGGCTCTCGGGGAACATGAGCAGCTTGAACATGTCTTTCATGGGCGGGTTGTCCTTGACGTTGACCACCGCCAGGCGGTCCAGTGGGTAGAGCGCATTGTAGCGGTACATGCCTCGCCGCTGCGGCAGCCAGGTGGCCACCAGCAGACAGTCGTTCATGAGGAAGCCGTGCACGCGCTGCAGCTGGGCCATGTGGTCCGCCTCGTACTCCACCAGGTCGCCGTTGTACACCAGGTACTGTCCTGGCGTCTCCAGGAGGTCCCTGCAGCCCTCCACCTTCTCCAGCAGCGTGGTGAGCGTCCGTTGCTTGCCCTCCTCGACCGCACCGGGGCCCTCGCGCCCGATCCCCGCCGGCCCGGGCAGGAAGCCTGCCTGGGCCGCCCCGCGCTCCCGCGGCCCCGCGCCCGCCGTGTCCTCACCCGCGGAGGCGCCCGCGGCGGCGGCGGGCAGCAGCGCCAGCGGGATGCTCTCCAGATTGCTCTTCTGCTCCGTCAGCAGGTGGCTCAGCTGGTACATCTCGCTCTCCAGGTACGAGATCTCGCGCGCCGTCTCGATGAACTGCCGGTAGTTCTGGTAGACATTGCGCTTCAGGTTCTGCGCCGTCTCCTCCGCCAGCGCCTGCACGCGCTGCCGGTGCTCCTGCAGGTCGCGGTCGCCGTCCGACTGCTGCGACAGCTGCTTCACGTACAGCTGCGCCTCGAAGCCCCCCGACTCCAGCTGCCTCCGCAGGCGGCTCGCCCCGCTGTCCGACATGGCTGTCACCCGCCGCCTCCGCGCCCCACCCGAGCCCGGCGGAGGAGGCAACCGAGGAAGCGGGGCGGGAGCAACCCCGAAACGCAGGCGCCGGGGCCCAGCGCCGCATTGCGCCTGTGCCGGAGTCGAGACTCTCGTACTGCGCCTGCGCCGGGGCGGGGCGCTGGTAGCGCGCATGCGCGAGACCACCAGCGGCCTAGGGCGCGTGCGCGGTCAAGCCAGTGCGGAAGTCAGGAGATTCGGACGCGAACCGGACTGGAGGTGCAGCGTTGCACTTCCAGGAGACGGCCGGCCTCCCGGAGCCATCCCTAGCCCGAGCCCCGCGTTCCTAGAGCTGTGTCCGCGGGGCGGCTCCGAGCTGCCTTCCGTTGGGCGTTCGAGGAGAGCCCGCGCGCTCCCGGCAGCCAGCCGAGCCCGGAGGTCTCGCGAGATCAGTGAGCTGCACGAGCGCGGCCGGTGTCTTCCGAGCAGCTCAGGAGGGAGTGGCGCGATGGACGAGGACCTGGTGGTTGCGCTGCGTCTGCAGGAGGAGTGGGACGTGCAGGCGGCGCGGCGCGCGGCGGCGCGGGAGCCCGTGTCGTTAGTGGACGCGTCCTGGGAGCTGGTGGACCCCACCCCGGACCTGCAGGCGCTCTTCTTGCAGTTTAACGACCGTTTCTTCTGGGGTCAGCTGGAGGCAGTGGAGGTGAAGTGGAGTGTGCGCATGACCCTGTGAGTGCGCCCACGAACGGCTCGGAACGTAGGCCAGGGCGAGGCCGCCGAGCTGTCGTTGGGGTCCCCGCCTCGCGGTGGAGGGAGAGGTCACCGGGAGGCTTGCCTGCACCCCAGAGTGGGCCGAGCCCAACGGCTCTCGGTGATTTGCCGACAGGATCCCCTTCCTACCCACCGAGTTTGAGAAATCCGATTCGAGGTGGTAATCTGCGCAGCACACACACCGCCAACTCAGAAGGCAGTCCGCGGTAGAGCGGGCTGAGATCTAGTGCACGTCTGACCTTTAACCGCCCCTTTGACCCCTTTGGAGACGTGCCCCTGCACTCGTGTTGGCTAAACCATTCCCTGCTGTGAACGCCTGTGCGGAGCAGAGGGGGTGACAGAGGCTGAGGGTGAGCCAAGTGTCCCACTCAGGAACTTTTCCAGGGACTTTTTCCTGTGAACTCCCCATGAACTGGCTTTTGTTTTGTTTTGAAATAAGGCTGTCGTGGATCTTAGAGTAGACCAGGCCAGCCTGGAACTCAGAGGTCAGCCTGCCCCTTCCTCCACAGTGCTGTGATTAAAGACATTACTCCCATGCCAGGCTAGGGCTTGCTTTTTGATCTGTCTGCCCTGGGTATGTGGCGGGCCTAATCTGTTGTGACTGTCTTCCAGGTGCGCTGGGATCTGCACCTATGAAGGGAGAGGAGGAATGTGCTCCATCCGCCTCAGTGAGCCCCTCTTAAAACTGAGACCCAGAAAGGACCTTGTCGAGGTACTCTTTGCTTAAGCCTGGTTCTCAACGCAGTGATTTGCAGGATTTGTTTTGTTTGTTTTGATTTGGGTTTTTTGTTTGTTTGGTTTGGTTTGATTTTTGTTTTTCAAAGACATGGTTTCTTTGTTTAGCCTTGTTTGTCCTGGATAGTGTAAGACCAGACTGGCCTTGAACTCACAAACGATCTGCCTGCCTCTGCCTTCCTGAGTGCTGGGATTAAAGGCGTGCACTACACACCCGGGCTAGGTTTTTTGTTTTGTTTTGTTTTCTAAAGACAAGGGTCTTGATAATAGCCCGGACTGGCTTCAACTTAAATATCTTCTTGTCTCAGGCCTGACGGTTGGGTTTACCGTTGTACACTACCATTCCTGGCCAGGATGTTTTGCTGACTTTAAGAGACAGAGTCTCTGTTATTTGGGTTGGCTCTGTCTCCTCAGTGGGCTTGCACGCACGTGTGGGTGTGTGTATCCAGATATTTTTAAGGGGGTTGATGGTGACGGAGCAGAGCCAGACAAGCTCACCTTGTCTCAAACTCCTGACCCTTCTGCCTCCACCTTGAGTTCTGGCGTCACTGGACTACATCGTGCCCAACATTTACATAGCTTTGTGACTATTTAGACCTGGGCTGTTTGCCCTTTCGGATTGGCATTTCCATGCTGGCATCAGGAGTTCCTTGTGTTCAGAATTCAGAGCTATGATATGTGTTGTGGAGTTACAGCAATCATGTTTTGACTTCGTTTACATTGGGTTTTTCTATCAGAATTTTAAAGTTTTTATGTGGTTGGATTCACCAACCTTTAGCGTTTGAGTTGGTAGTTAAATGGTCCTTCTTGAACAATTTTAATTCTTTTTGAAGAGAATTGTTTACAGGATTCTGCAGAGCTTGGAATGTTATGTGCAAAATTTTGTGTGCTTGGGCCTGCAGAAGGCTAAGACTACAGGTTGAGAAAGAATGCATCTTTATCTTGAGACATGCCCTGGAAAATTAATGTGCTGTTTTCTGTTTCAGACTCTTTTGCATGAAATGATACACGCTTACTTATTTGTCACTAATAATGACAAAGACCGGGAAGGACATGGCCCAGAGTTCTGTAAACACATGCATCGGATCAACCAGCTGACAGGAGCCAACATCACGGTACACTGAGCCACGCGATAGAGAGGCGGGGAAGCAGGGTCTTGCTGTGTAGACTAGTGTGGCCTCAAACTCACAACTCTTACCTTAGCCTCCTAAGTGCTAAGTGCCACCAAGCCCAGAAGCCATTCAGTAAAAGTGAACTAGAGAGAAGTAGATTTTTAGCGTTCAACAAGAGTCCTACAAAAACAAATGGACTTGTGTAGGCCCTGGGGGTAGAGTGGCTGCAGAGCCAGGAGTCCTCTTCATTGACGCCTCCAGCGCGCTTCCAGGTCAGCATTTTGGTCAGCTTTATACTCTGCTAGACCTTCAGGAGGACCTCCTAGTCCATCCTGTATTCTCCCACAGGGCTACACTGGTTAGCTCGCTTGTACCACTGAACCCTTAATGATGGAACGACATGGCCTGCTCTTCGAGGCCTTGAGAGCAAGGGTATGCAGTGTCTTAGCCCAGCCTGAGCCCTGATTACGTACTATGTGTTAACTGAGACTCTGCATGCTCTTTAGGAAGGATCTGGCTGCTGACTCAGCCCTTTAGTTTATATTCTTCCCAGGAGCTCACACTTAAGGAAGTCTATGGTTTCTTCTGAGAGAGATAGTCCTCTCTGTTGGTCTCACCTGCTGCTTTTCTTTTAATTTTTACGTACGCTGGTGTTTTGCCTGCATATATGTCTGTGTTAGGGTGACAGATTCCTTGGAGCTGGAGTTAACAGTTGTGAGCTGCCATGTGAGTGTTGGAAATTGAACTCAGGACCTCTGGAAGGGCAGCCAGTGCTCTTAACCTCTGAGCCACCTCTCCAGCCCCATGGTCTCAGCTCTTCCTCCTTGTTAGAGCCTTATTATTATTTAGTCAACCTCTTCCGTTCTAGCTCTTAGGAATGTTGTTCAGTCTCTGAAATACTTAGCATTCATAGTCCTGTTTTGTGGTTGTCAGGTTTTTTTCCCTGAAAATCTTTTGTATCCATGCTTATAGCTTTACATAGTAGATTTTAAATTACCTGATGTTTCCCATTAAAGTGAACTTCTGAAAAGAAACTAAATACAGTACCTGTCTTTCTCAAAATGGAACTTCTTTGAAATGTCTGGGAAATGGGATATTTCAAAACAAGTGACAACTCCTTGGGTGAGTATCTCCTCAGACTGTTGACTGGTGTCTTGACGGCTGGACGCTTCTCCCTCTGCCAGGTGTACCACACTTTCCATGATGAGGTGGACGAGTACCGTCGACACTGGTGGCGCTGCAATGGGCCTTGCCAGCACAGACAGCCCTACTACGGCTATGTGAAGCGTGCCACCAACAGGGCTCCCTCCGCTCATGACTACTGGTGGGCTGACCACCAGAAAACCTGTGGAGGCACCTACATCAAAATCAGGGAGCCAGAGAACTACTCAAAGAAAGGCAAAGGGAAGACCAAAGCAGGCAGGCAGCCAGCATCAGCAGTGGAGAATAAAGGTACCCCTCCATCTTGTCTTCCGTGGCTGCGATTCTGGCCGGAGCCTGGGCAGTGCTACCTGTCAGGGAACTGGGTGGAGTCAGTGCAGGCCTGCTCCCGTGGAGGCGTCTGCAGGGACACAGCACACTCCACACTGTGATGGCAGGAAGGTGCTTCGCTCTGTGGAAGTGAGGGAGGGTGAGATGGTCACCCTGGGCAGCATCTGAGGAGAGTCCAAGGCAAACAACTGTCAGAGTGAAAACTGACTTAAGTAACAGCACCTGGAGTGTAAGTCCTGACCAACTTGGGACCCTTCCTGCCCAGTGACTTCTGCTGAGTTGTCTTGGGAGGATGGGAAAGGCGTGCGGCCTGCATTTGTCCTGTGTCAGCCTTAGGATCTGCTCCTTTTCCTCAGACTCCCGAGGAGACAGCAGTTGCTGAAGTTGACGCTTCCCCTTGTGGGTTTTGGGGGGGTGGACCTTGGGAACTGGCTGTAGTCCTGATCTGACCCGCTGAGAAGCCAGGAACTGGAGAGTGTTGGTGCAGAGGGACTGCTCTGTAGGAAGCCATGTAAGGGGGGCCAGGGCAGAGGAGTCGGCACCTTCCCAGCAAAGTTCTTGGTTAGTGCTGGCTTCCTTATCTGTAGTTTCTGCCATCCTAATTGCTCTCAGCACAGGGCCCTGCCTTCTAAAGGTTGCCTTCTCTTGTCAGTAGTGAGTTAGAACAAGACAGTCCTATTTTAGGAAACGGCCGTTTGCGGTTGCTGTGTCACTGTGTTGAGAAAGGGTCTTGTCTGTCTCCTTTGCAGACAAGCTGTGCAGAGGGGAGGCCCAGCCGCTCATCCCATTCAGTGGAAAAGGCTATGTTCTCGGAGACACAAGTACTTGCCCTTCAGCTGGCAAGTTGAGCACCTTACATGTGATTAATGAAGCCAAAGGCCCGTCAAGTCAAGACCATTCAGCAAGTGGCCTCAGACTCATTTCCAACACTGAGGTGAAATGTGAACAGAATGGTTTCTCGAGTAAAAAACCTCATCTGGTGCCCCCTGTCCCCACCGCTACTCACCAAAGTGTCCTGAGCAGCTACTTCCCCAGAGTGTCTGTTGCCAACCAAAAGGCTTTCAGAAATGTGAACGGGTCCCCAGTCACGAGTGGGACTTCTGGGGATGGCTGCCAGCATCCAGCCCTGTCAG